AGGCTGAGCCACACCCAGGAGCTGAGATGGTATCGTCTCGGCATTCTTCCTGCACTGCAGTCCAACTTCCAAACTGGGAGGACAGTGACCCTGAGGACGACGCCCCCCCCATGTAAGCACATCCCCTCTTCCCACCCACCCTCCCAAGGTGAGATGGGAACTGGCAACCCCAAGCAACGCATGGCCTCTTGGCCTCCCCGTGTGGTAAAGAAGGAGTTTAGCTAGAAGCCCCCCTTCTCCCCCCCCCGTCCCCCCCCCCCCCCCGGTGTTTTCCAGCTCAGGGATAACTCCCCACAACCGCAGAGCCCAGGATTATGAACTAAGGCCAACTGAGGCCTCAGACCCAGTGAGGTCAGGTGAGGACACAGGTGTTTGCCCCAGGATCTGCCTCAGGCAGAGAGGGAGAGTTTGCTGGGGAGAGTTTGAAGCAGGGCCCACCTGCCCTGCACAGGCCCCTGTCTGCACTCCAGTGGCCTTCCCTTCCCAACTGGCAAGTTCTGGCCACAGTGGGCTGGACTGGGGCGTCTGTCTACCTAACTTGGGAAACGCTGAATCCCAAATCCCCTTACAGCATTCCTTCTTCTCCGGAGCCCATCTTCCTTAACCATCTGAATGGCCCCAGGGAATCCCCGGCTGGCTGCACGCCTGCAGAACCTCCCTCCCTTCCAGCTTGGGTGAAGAGATCTCACCCAGGCCGCTCCCCTCCCCCTCCCTGGAACTTGGAGGAAGAAGCAATGCCTGGAAAAAGCACCCTCCCTCCACCACAAGCTCCCTGTGGTTGAGAGAAAGGCAAAGGGACCAGGGTGCAGCCTCCTGGGCTGGCCACAGTGTGAGGGAGAGGAGGAAGAGCCACAGCCGCCCGCCGGGGAAGTGATGGGTCAGTCGCCCTGGTTATCTCTCCATGTGGCGGCTTCCTTCCCATACACTCTTTCAATGCTTCTCATCCTTGCTCTTACTTCCGTTGGGTAGAGGGCCAAAGTGGTCTTGCATGGGACAACTCCCACTCCTGCTCCACCCAAACCTCCAACCAGGTCACACTGTCAGAGTACAGGTGAGGGAAAAAACCAAGTGACTCTGTCCTAGGCTGCAAAGCCCACGTGCCCACCCAGGTGAGCTGTTCAGCCTGGGAGGGCAGGTTCCTCAGAGCACAATGTGACCTCCGGGAAACTGAGCCCTTAACCCTCCTGTCTCTTCTAACAGCATGGACTTGAGTAGCCTGAAGTGAACCAGTTGTAACCCAAGCCCTAAGGAATTAGAAAATAAGCTTCATCTGAGCAAGCGACAGCGGCATCCCGACACGGATTTCCTACCACAAGCAGGATACCCTTCACTTCCTCTTCCCCAGTAGGGGCGAAGAAAAGCAAACAGGAGCTGGACCTGCACCTAGTGATGGATAGGTAACACCTATTGCAAACCTTCTTACTACCAGCCCATCAATTTGCATGCATAGTCTTGTCTCACCTTTACAGCCACCGTACAAAGCACTATTTTCCTCCCCCTTTTACAGAGGAGAAAACTGAGGCTCAGGAAATTAAGCGATGCACAAGGCCACAGGGCAAGTGGAGAAAGCTGGAGTATGAACCTGGGTGCTCAGGGGTCATTCCCATGCACCCGCCAGACTTCTTTCAGTCACTGCCAGGTGACTGTCTACACACCATCCAGGAATGGCGTTCCAGTGTGGAGGCAGAGGTGGGTGTGGATGAGTTTGGCCGGATGGCTCTGGAATTTGGATTGATCCCCCACCACCACCACGACTGTTACAGATCCCAAGAGTGTGACTGTGAGAGCTCACGTTAAGTGTGTAAGCCGTAGGGGTGGGAGGAGGGCGATCTGGATTCCAAAGAGCAGCCTCCAACACAGAAGTTATGCTGTAATGCTTCTGATTCATAAAATGAGCTCAGTCTCAGTGTCCCGAACGCTGCTTCAAATGCAAACGCAGGCCCCCTTACTAAGAACTGGGGATTTCAGCATTCCTAGCCCCGGTGCAATTTCCTCCAGCCGCACGGAGTTAGGACGTGCAGGAGCAATTTCCCCGACAAAAAGCCTCCACTGGCTGCATTTCCTGCAGTCTCCAATGAGTCAGGAGAAAGTAGAGCCTTCCCACTACCACCAGCTGGCCCTGCAACAGTACAGGTACACACATGTGTGCGCGCGCGCGCGCACACACACACACACACACACACACACACACACACGAAGGGTGCCAGCCTGTCCTAGCCAAACAAAATGGCCAGTTTAGCAGATCTCCAGACAGGAAGCTCTACAACTCTCACTCTGAGGTCCCCGTGGGGTCAGGATGACAGAGACACAAGTTCCCAGAGGCGAGATGCAGAGGAACAAGCTGTACTAACCAACACCAGTATCATTCACCGTGGGCTGATCCTCTTGAAATTAACAATGCAGTGAGGTGGTCCCCACAGGAGAGGAAGGACTCACCAGCCCTCCACACAGCAAATCTGTTTTTTTCTTTTTGAGGCAGAGACCATGTAGCCCACCCAGGATGGCCTTTAATGCATGAGCTCAAAGAATCCTCCCACACCACTGTCCCACACCCACCTCCCAAGTATCTGGGACTAAATAAAGGGGTGTGCCATTAACCTTGGCAAGTACTTCTTTTGGTGGAGGTAGAGAGCTCTCACTCACTTATCTAACGTGTACTAAACTCTCACAGGATGCCAAGGCATTGTGGAAACAGCCCTAAGCTTACAGGAAAGCAGAAACTATCCATGTTTTGCATGCATTGACTCAGAGTCCTCACAGCAACTCCATGAAATAAAGCAGCAGTTGGGTGTTCAGAAGGCCTTCAACAGTGACATGGGAACCGGGACTAAGGGGGTAGATAAGCAGCCGTCTCCCATAAACTCATGTCCTCACCCGACATCAGCACACTTTTCTTTTGCGTGACATGCTATCAAGGCTAAAGATTTGTGGTCTGGGCTCACAGGAAACTAGCCAGGTGACTCTCCATCTTCTGCCTACTCCTGTCTTTTTCCCAGAGGCCTTGGTTTCAAAGAGCCTTCCCCCAGGTTCTGCAGCCATGGGCAAAGCCCTCAATGGAATCCACACCTCATGCTGCCTCCCCCTTTTCCATTTATGAAAAGCCCAGGATTTTAAAACTAGGGCTATTTTTAAAATCTCATGTTTAAAAGTTAAAACTTGCATCCTTCCGGGCATTCCAAGGAACTCTTTCTTGAACTGAGTACGAGTAGGGGTTCTACCTGGTGCTCGGAGCTGCCACAGAGGCAGCGGATAGGCCTTTCCTAGAGCAAGCTGCAAACCTGGGGACATTCTCCAGGCTCTTTCACCCCTTGACCCCTGGGAGCTACAGACCAGAGGAACCAGCCAGAGGCCAATCCAATTAGAATGGAGACTGGGCCAGGGCTGTGCAATGAGATAGTTTATCACCGTAATTGAATGTTTACACCCTGCAGAGCAGCAGGAAAGAGGCCCCATAAGTTCTCAACCGAAATGCCCGTCCCTTTTGGTTCTGGAGTCATCTGACCATGCCGAGAGAGAGCATTTCTCTGATGCTAAAGGTGCATATACCCTACTTTCCCCGGGTGGCTCTGGGCTCGGACTGACGGACGGTTTCACCCCCTCAGCCGAGGCATCCAGGCTGGAGGCAGAGGTCAGAGATACAATTCCATCTTCACCAAACCATCTTAGTCCTAAAACTTCAGGGTCAGGATAACCCAGGCCTCCAGACCAAGCTCCCAGTGCCGGGTGAAGCCGCTTTCCCCCTCCCCAGCCACAGGGGCCACCAGGATCCCCTACACTCACGTGCCACGGTGGCCTCAAAGACCGGCCACTGCTCCCCTATCCTGCCTCCCCTGGGCAAACAGGTCCGAAGTGGGATGGTGGAAGCAGGAAGTAGCCGCCGAAGTTGTAGCCAGCAAAGTTTAAAACGAGGCAAGAAACTTCCCCTTTCATCTTTCCAGCAGCTCGGGCCAAAGATGGCTTTGGAACACTCAGTGGCCTCCCATTTGGGTGGCAGACGCCTCCTCCAGGTCGGCTTTGGGTCTGAGACTTGAAAGCCCCAGGTACTCCAAGTTCCTCAGCTTCCCAAAGTCTTTACTTTAAGGCCTGGGTGGGGTTGGGGTGGGGGGGCGCAGCAGAGGTCCACATGCCCCCTCATTGTGAGCGTGTGTGAGGCGGGGAATGATTAACTCCAACGAGCCCGCCATATGCAGGGCCCAGACGAACCCGGGCTCCAAAGCTCACGACAAGCCCCATGGAACACAGCACCCGGCCGGGGACGCGGGCGTGCGGGGGCGGGCGAGACAGATGACAGGTCTGAGGTGCACCAAGCAGCGCCGGGCGCGCGGGGTGAGGCTGCTCCACGCTCCTCGTCGTCCGGGGTGGGTGGGTGGGGGGGCCCGCGCGCGCTCAGAGCTCCAGCCTAGGCCTCTCCAGCACCGGCCCCGGCTCCCTGCCCCCACAGCACGACCACCCTCCCGCAGATCTGTCCCCGCAAAGTCCCCCGCGCCGACCCGGCGCCCAGCACGCTGCAACGATCAGGGGGCGCCCGCTCCAAGTTCTCGCAGCTCGCGAGCCTCTCGTCGCCGCCTCCCCGGCCCGGCACGCCAGCGGGTCCCTGCGGTCACCACGTTTCTCTGTCGCGCGCGCAGGAGCAGCAAGCCGCGATCCCCCAGCCGCCGGGAGCGGGCGTGGAGAGAGAAGGCTCGGGAGGGCTTTCCAGCCGGGGCCGCGCCTGGGGTGGGCGGGCCGCGGGCGAGCTGCGTAGCTGCACAAACACGGCGGGGCTGCGCTCGCTGCACACGCCGCTGCGGGGCGCGGGCTGCGGGCCGGGAGGAGGCGGGCTCCGGGCGGCCCCCCCGCAGCCGCTCCCGCCGCCCCGCAGGCCGCCGAAGTTGGGCTGCCGGAGGCCCCCGCGCGTGCCGAGCTGCAGCCACCTCCTCCTGCACGGTCGCCCCGGGGGTCCCCTGGCTGGCCGCGCCGCCCGCAGGCCTCGGCCGTCCCCGGAGCAGCACACCACTTACCCAGCTCCCGCCGGGCCTCCGGCCTCAGCAGTCTCCCTTCCTTCCGCCGCGGGCCGCCGCCGCGGGTCGCCTCCGAGGAGCCCAGCCGCTTGCACGCACTCCCGGATTTGAAAAACAAACAGGCGCCGTCGCCTGCCCGCGGCGTTCGCAGGGCTCTCGCCAAAGCCCGCTCCTCCCGGAGCTGGGAAGTTTGCTGGCAGGGCCCCGGGCGGGACGTGCGTGCTGTCACCCGCTGCTCGCGACCCGGCAGCCTCGGCGCGCCCCGCGCCCTTCCAGTCCGCCTCGAGAGCGCTCTCCCTCCCTGCGTGTCACCCCCAGTCCTGCGATGCAGTGTCAGGATTGCACGACTCTGACTCATCGGTTGAGCTCACAGCATGAAAAAAAAAAAAAAAGGAGAGAGAGAGAGAGAGGGCGAGAGGCAAGAGCGAAGGAGGAGGACTCGCTGGCGTGCTACAAAGGATTGCACAACTCGAGGGCTGAGAGCGCCGAGCGCCCAGTGGCTGGCCGGCGCGCGGCACGGCGGCGAGCAGGAACCAGCTCTACCACTTCATCAGCACAACTGTCTCTGGGCGGCCTCTCCGCCCGCGGGCTCCGCGCCGCCCACTTCCTGCGACCAAATAAGGCCGGGGAGGCGTCTTTAAACCTCCGGCGGCTGCCGGGGCTGGGGATTTCCAGCAGACCTCACCTCCACTTGCAAGGCTGCGGCCACCCTCCACCCCAAGCCTAGGCCTGAGCGCGCGCGCGCACACACACACACACACACACACACACACAGAGCCCCCATGGCTCTTCGGTAACCAACAGGGCCACGCGGCTTGTTCCTTGCACACCAAGGTCAGGAGGAGACAGTGACGAAATGTTTGGAAACCCATGCAGCCTGCTGCCAGGAAAGTGTGTGTGTGTGTGTGTGTGTGTGTGTGTGTGTGTGTGTGTGTGTGTGTGTGTGTGTGTGTGTGTGATGGTGGAGAGGGCACAAGTCGCTTTCCTCCACAAAGAAAACTGTGGCTTTGGAGATGGTAAAGCATGCACAATCCTCTCCGAGGCACTTTATTAACAGCCTTGCTGAGTTTCGATTTCTAAGCCACCAGCCTGCCCCTGATGTGAAGGTTATAGAGAAACCAGCCCTGTCCCTATAAAGGACTCATGTGACCCTTACTTAGGCGATGAAAAGCTCCTGGGTTGAATTCTCACAGCTCAGACCTAAGGTGGGCAGCGTTTACTCCAGGCCACATCCCTGTCCTACTGCCCCTTGCCTTCCTTAAACGTCCCTGACATAATTTTCTGGTTCCAGCACGTGATGCCATTTTTCCCGTTTAGTGGATGATGGGAAACTCAAGAGGTCTTCCAGAGCTGAGGGAAAGTCGGGTGTATTTTTGCTGTTTGGATGTTGCTGCTTCTTAAGATGAGTCAGAAGGTTTTTCCTCCAAAGGAAACACCACGGAGGAACACACTGTGTTCTGAGAGACACTTTCCCCTGGGACGGGTGTCAGGTACATCCCTTCCTGTCTCAGAAGTGGAAGGGCAGTAGAATTCTCACGCTGAGATTGCAGGGCCTGGGGCCTTCACCTTACCTAAAGAGTGGAGGACACAGACATCCAACAGAGAACCTTCTTCTTCACAGACACTTGCAAGACCTAAGTGGCATGGCTTCCCATCCATCCTCTTCCACCTCTTCGCTGGCTTCACGGCTACCTTTGTGCACCTGCACCTGGAAGGCACTCCTTCCCCAGAGGACAAGGGCTTACTTGTCCTCTGTCCTGACAGACAGGTCAAAGAATTCTAGCTACAAATACATACAGTAAGTATGCCAGGGGACTAGACCAGACGACCTCTTAAAAATCTCTTCTGGTTTAAGATCCGTGATTCTGTGATTGTGGAAATTGAATGGAGGAGCCTGGGAAACCCCTTTCTACAAGGAAAAGTCCAGACTCCCCAGTTTAGCATCCACTATGACAAGTCTCCAAACACTTCCCTGTGCAGCGATCTGAACAGCTGTGTGAGGATATTTTAACACTCTTCATTCACCAGATGGGAACACTGGATCAGAGAGCTTGCATGCCTTTGCATAAGGTCACAGGGTAACCCAATAATCTATCCCCTCTCTTCCTCGGCTCCCAAAGAGTAGGTCACTGAACCATTGAGGGACTGGGGGTACTCAGGTACAAGGTCCCCCCCAGGTAAAAGCGAGACTCTCGATGCTCCTGGCAGAGGCTGGATCTAAAAGCCATTTTGGGTTTTTCCATTTGTAGGCCTCTTTGTCCCTGTGGCAGTTCATCTAGGTGAGAAAAACAAGAGCAACCCCGTGGAGGCCCAAATTACTCGGGGTCTGAGAATCTGAGCTTGCTTTACCCAACAGGGCTGCTGCATAAGGGGATGATTTGACCACGGGCGTGTTTATACCAGGTGTTTGGAAGGGTCTACACTTGGCTGTATGGGTGTGCTTTGATCTAGCAAGGGGGAAGTCTTTTGCCTCTCTCCTTGGCATGTTATAAAAAGCCTTTTGAATAAACCTTTGAGGCTGCTGGGTATTGATCCAGACCCTCCCGAAGCTACCTGTGTTTCTGTCTTTCCTCTCATCCTCTGGGCCTACCATTCTATGTAATATTTTCCTATCCCTCTCTCCTCCAAAGATCCCTAGAAAAGGTGGGAAAGGTAGGAGCTGGACTCCCACAGTCCCCCACACAACCCACTTGGTCTCCGGGGTCCAGTATTTCCAGGTCCTTCATTAAACCTGCAGCCATGCTGACCTTCCTGAGGGCTCAGCCCCTGCAGCTAACCAGGGCCAGCCCAGAGGGAGCCCCTGAAAGAGAATACAAAACTAGTCTTGGGACATCTCCCAAATGACTGAGCTGGGGAGCACATTCCTAGAAGAGTCTGTCCACCATGGTGCCGGGCCCGGCCTCCCGGGAACCAGTGGGAGCCACGGCAAAGAGCATTTGCTCAGCCTGGTCTCAGAGGACTTCCTCCCCCGACCCCCCACAAACTGCTGGGCCTGTCCCAGAAGTCGCATGGGGAGGAGAGACAGGAGGCAAGACGCACAAGAAGTCAGTGGCCCTCAGGGAGCCACTCGCCTTGAGCATGCTTCTTCACTCAGGTAAACTTCTACATTTGGGCCACCTCAGAAAGGGGGGGGGGGTTGTCTTGACATGGCAGAAGCCTACCTCCCACCAAGCAAATGGGGTGGTGCTGAGGAAGCTACAGGCTTTCTGGGAAAGCCGTGGAGGTCAGTCTTCCTGCAGATATGACAAAGCAGCATCACTGACTTGTGAAGTGCCAGTTTTGGTTTTGAGAAGCTCTCCAGTCCCTCCCACAAGCCTCCGGGGCAACCAAGAAGGTAACCTTTTTAGAGTTGGGGGACTGGGGGGGGTATAGGGAGCAGGGAGGGGTTCCTGAGACTTTACCTAGAGAATGCCATTCTTTTTCTACCACCCCACTTCTTCCCAAACCCCGGGGGAGAGAGGAATACAGAGCTCCAGGTCCCTGTGTATCTGCTAAGAAACACTCCAGGAAGCAAAGCATCCTGAACTGGATTCCCAGCTCCGAGTCCATCTCAGGGTGGAGTGTAGCCTTAACAGAGGTTTCCTGGGATGATGTCAACTCTCATGACAGCTCAGAGGAAGGCAGCACTCCCCGGAGTGGCCATCACCTATGTCCAGCCCAGTAACCTCTTTAGGGGAGGGGGCAGGGTGAGGTTGGAGAGGTGGTTCAGCAATTAAGAACACTTGTTGCTCTTGCTGAGGACCTGGGTTCAGTTCCCAGCATCCACATGGTGGCTCACAACCATCCATAATTCCAGTCCCAAAGGATCTGACACCACAGGCCCAAGGCACTCATCTGGTGCACACACACACACACACACACACACACACACACACACACACACGCAGGCAAAAAACGTTCATACAAATCAAATAAATTATTTTTTAAAATCTTCCAAGGGGTGAATTTTATGGTACATGAGTTAAATCACAGTAAATATAAAGAATGGGGAGGGGCTTCCAAGAAGCCCAGGGTCTTATTACCCACCTATCTACCACCATTATCTTCCTGCTGGCATTGTCCACTACGGAATAATGGGGGGTTTTAGGGTGGGGCTGTAGCTCAGTGCATGAGGTCTTGCATTTAGATGCTAGGGGAGGAAGCTCAGGAAGAAAGGGAGGGGGAGGAGGAGAAGGAGCACACTCCTGTAACCCCAGGACTCAGGAGGAAGAGGCAGGAAGACCAGGAGTTCGGGGGCAGGCCTGAGCTACATACAAATACTGTTTAAAAAAAAAAAAGGTTTCTTCTCCCCGGCCCCCAAGTTTGCGTACTTGTTTCTTCTCCGTTCTTCCCTTCTCCACGGAAGTCAGTACACACGTGGAGTGTCAGTGCCCCTTCACTGGGGGCACAAACACCCGTGGAGTGTCAGTGCCCCTTCACTGGGGGCACAAACACCCGTGGAGTGTCAGTGCCCCTTCACTGGGGGCACAAACACTATCGAGGGCACCGAAAGTCCACAATGCCAGGTTCCTTACGTCTCTAGTTAGTTCCCTTTGCAACATAAAGACGCTATCTTTAGGACCTCCTTGCCTAGAGTTACAAGAAAAGAGAGAAAGTTGTGGGAAAGACAGGAAACCAGGACTGAGTCTGGATCCTGTCTAAAATAAATCTACTGAGCCATCTCGGGACAGTCTTCGAGAGACTTCGGAGTTTTTTGTTGTTGTGTTTTGCCTATAACAGCTCAGCTGTGTTCTAAGGGCTTATAACTGTTATTTCTCTGTGTTTATTCCTCCCCAATACCGTCCCCCTTTCAAGAACCTAATCCCAGGAAATATCCTTACACACACTCCCACCCAAAGTGGCCCCACTGGCCGCAGGATGAGCCTCTGCTGGGCTCCAGCAGAGGGACTATTTCCAGCATCAATCTGGTGTCTTACCCAAGGCTGCCCCCACTGCATGCCTCTTGTATCCCTTCCACTATACCTTCCACAACACTGAGAGCTCGGGTGGATTAGGGACGCCCCTCTGATGGCTGTGTCTTCTCCTCAGGCCTTACCAGGTCCTTCCTTGAAGGAGTGGACAGCTTAAAACCAACCCAGTCATGAAATTAAGCTGAGAAGGCCCTGCACTTTGATCTCATTTACCCCTGAGAACCAGGGACCCCTCCGCCTTGGCTCCCCGTTCCTTCACCTGTTCTGGGGAATGCCTGCCACATCAGCCCCCAGCTGTCTGCAGCCCTGGGTACTTCCCACCTGCCCCTCCCCTGCAGGCCTCGCCAGGTTCTGAGTGCCTTTGTCAGCCCTGAAAGGGAGCTTCTATAGATGTCCCCACTTGCTGCTGTCACTCTGGGAGAGACGTCTGGCTGGGTGCAGGGAGAAGAACAAAACAGGTGTGGCAGCCAGGGAGGGCTGGCCCGCAGAGCCGAGGGACAGAGACACCCTTTCTTCAAGGGATAAGAGCTGCCAGCTTCCCGGATACCTCATTTCAGCACAGTTCCAGGCCCACTGCAGAACCAGCCCTGGACAGACTCCCTGATTGGCTGTTGGCTAGAACTCAGCTTCTCCTCATCACTGCAGTGAGCCAGGAAGAAAGGGGATCCCCAGAGATCCAATGTGTGCAATGGAGCATGCTTTAAAATAAAAACAAATATTGATAAGTCATGGACTGGAATCCAAAATTCACAGTCACGGGAATAATCCAGGTTAAAAACACAGGTTAAGCCAGGCGGTGGTGGCGCAGCACTCGGCAGGCAAAGGCAGGAGAATCTCTGAGTTTGAGGCCAGCCTGGGCTACCAAGTGAGTTCCAGGAAAGGCGCAAAGCTACACAGAGAAACCCTGTCTCGAAAAACAAACAAACAAACAAAAAAAAACACAGGTTAAGACCTGAGTCCAAATCCTGGCTCACACTAGCCTGATGACCTTGAGCAGGCTACTTAAACACTCTGTTTGCTCATCTGCAAAGTGTGGATGAGAGAGTGAGTTTTAAATGTCTGGCCCACACTGGGTCTTTGATTTGCGGTGCCTGTCATTTTCCTCGCCTCCTTAGCTGATCTCTTTGCTCTGGCCATACATGCTGTGTGTTCCACAAGCCAGCAGAGTGCCTATTCCTTAGTAGTTCCTACCACCTCCTGCATAAAGCTGGGGCCGTGAACCAGGCTGTTAAGACACGTTCTCAGGACCACCTAACACTGTCCAACTTCCCAGCCCCAGTCCTCACACAGACAGACGACCTGAGGTTCTCCAGATGCTTCTTCCTCCTCACCCCACTTCTTCTCCCTTCGTCTGCAGGTAACCCGTGCCCAGGTGTCCCGGCGGACTGGCACCAGCAGCGCTTCTAAGAAGCCTTCCTGCATTCCTCCAAGCAAGGGAAGCCGATGCATGTGCATGCTGTTAGAGCTCTCTCATTTCACCAGGCTGGCACCTGAATGCTGGCTAAAGGGTTTTACCCACCGTCCCACCAAAGGAGCCTCTGGCGGGACTGACTAGCACGTGGGTGGCAGTCGGTGCGTGCTGCAGGGCTGCCTGTGGGCTCCAGCTGTGCTATCAGACCTCGCTTCCCGGCTGTTTTCCTTCCTCTTGCCGGCACTTCCTCAGCAAACCCCTTTCGGGTCTCTGCTTCTGCACAGTGGTCCTTGGGCTACCTTTACTCCACCATCGACACATGGTCCTACTCTGTCTGCTGACCTGCTCTCCTGGGTCAGAGCATCCTGGGCCAGAGCTCCTCAAAGGCTCAGCGTAGATCTTGGTAACCCTGACGTCTGTGTAGTATCTGCACTTGGTGGGTACTAGTGAATACTTCTGGCAAGAACTTTAATAAAACCATATATAGGAAGACTGCAAGTAATCGGTAAATAGATCATAATTTAATTGCTGCTTTCATTGCTATTCTAGTTCATTGATTCTTTGATGTACACTCCGTCCATTTGAGCCCCTCTGAAATCAGTATGCTTGTGACAATGGATAGCATGTATTTGTTGTGGTGGTTTGGTTTGGTTGGATTTTGGATTTTGGTTTCCATGCGTGAGAGAGGATCTTACTGTGTTGCCCAGACTGATTGCAAACTCCTGGGTTCAATCCATTCTCTTAAAACACCTTCAATATTGGGTCCGTAGGCCTGCATGTATGATTTAAGTGCCAGAATTTTCTCTTTTTAAAATGTTATTTTATTATTGTTAAAGAGTGTGTGTGGAGGGGGTGGTATTGGTATGTGCATGTGAGTACAGGTGCCAGAGAGTCCAGAAAAGGGCACTGGATCCTCTGCAGCTGGAGTTACAGGTCGTGTGAGCCACCTGATCTGGGTGTTGGGAACCCAGCTCAGGCCCTCTCCAAGAACAGTATGCACTCCTACTTGCTGAGCCAAATCTCCAGTCCCATTTTCTCTTTTTAGCTTGACATAAAAGAATAGTACTTATTGGAATCAGTGGTTCCTTAGGTTCAGTGGTATATGATATTGTTATTACTGACATGTGTCTTCTGGGTCCTAGAACCTACAACATGCAGTCCACTCTGTTACCAGGCCTCATATCTAAGCTTGTTAGCTGCTGGGCATTCAGGTTCTCATAAAGCAAC